CATTTCTTATTCAAGCTGACTTCAAAATTAGCAATCACGCCTTGTAACCAAATGCATCTGTCAAATGATACTACCTAAGATTGGATAATCTATAAAGAAAAGAAATTTATTTTTCACATTTCTGGACTCTAGGTTCAAGATCAAAAGGTTACATGTATGAGAGTCTTTATACTTTCTAGTGGGGACTCAGCAGAATCTGGAGGTGGCTCAGGGGATCACATGGCAATTTGGGGGGCAATGGAAAAGAGAGAGACAAACTTGTTTTTGTAAAAGAAGCACTTCACATATAACCCATCAATCTATGAACAGTTTATTTACGATGAGCTGATTCTCTGTTAAGGTCACATCCCTAACATCACAAATAGGAATTAAGTTTCAACCTGAGTTTTAGCAATTGCATTCAAATCATAACACTATGTCTCTCTGTCTGATTTACTTGCTTTGTTGGTGAAGGACAATACAATGCCTGATGCCCACTAATTAAAGGAGGAGAGCTTTATTTTGGTTCACAGTTTGTAGAGGTTTTCTAATTTAAAAAGTGAAAATGGCAGCTTCAGGACATAGGCCCAGTTTTTTTTCATTGTTTTGTCTTCTTCCAGAACACAAGAATTCTGCAAAAGGGTTTGGCTTTTTTATTTGCAAATAGTCCTCTTTCACCTGTGAATACATCTCTCTTTGTCACTTGTGTTGCGGACCACTATTGTACTGTGGTTAGGACATCACCTCCCTCCCACCACCACGACCACAGATTTCTTCTGTAGACCAACTTTTCACCTGTAAATTTGACCAGCCATCAAAACACAAAGATTATCTTACTATGGGGAGGGGGGTAGTGCCAAACTGAGACCAAGACTGTAGGTTATCAAATGTCACAGACATGCCCCAATTTATAAATATTCCAAACTACTGCATCTCATTTCTTTGAGCACATCTCAATCTAAAAATCTCTACCTAACAAATCTTTTCCAAGGCTCTTACTGAACTCTCCACAGCTAGAGGCAGTGAACCTGCAAAGTCATTCTACAGAAGGATGGGTGATCTTCCTTATTTCAGCCTCAGGGACCTACTCAGGCCCAGCCCAGTGACAACTGTGTGTCTGTGCTCAGCTATGGAAGCAGTGTGGCCTTGGAGAATGATCCTGCGTTATAATCTGAACCTTGTTCCTGGCAGCACACCCCTATGCGGTCTCTCAATCTCAGAAAACTCTAAGAACTGACCAAAACATTTTAATATTTATGTTTTCTGCTTGAAACAGTCAATGTTTGTTTCTAATGACAGTGGATCCCTAAGATTCATGGGGGTTGCATTCCTAGAGCACCTGCAAATGATGAAAAACCACAAATTTCAGATGTGGTCAGAGAATGCCTATAAATACCTTTTTTTGTGGTTTAACTCCTAAATGTGTCTCCTGAAATTATGTAATTTAATTTAATAAAATGCTGTATTAAAAGTGCAGGACAGTTTAGCAGCGTGTTAGGGTCTGAGGGTTTTGAGAAAAACAAAACCCAGGACACTGGAGATAGCTACAGAGGTACAGCAAGCTGTCATGAGGCAGGAACACTCGGTGCACCTGCCAGAGATGGGTAACAGGACAGCAGCCAATGAGCAGCAAGAACTGAATAACGCTTTTGGATTGGCTACTTGGAAACTTTCCTCCAAAACAAGCAATTGCGCAAGATATTTGCGGTTCCTGAGAAGTTTCAGGGGTTTCCATGAACAATTTCTGCAAACGAGTGATGCTGCGAACACTAAACTGCGACTTTGCAGGGGTATATGGTATACCAAAAAAGCTATAACCGATCTATACAGCTTAGGGGGACTTTTACGATTTGATCTCTGCCTTCTTCCCCATCTCACACTGTAACCTAGCCATTGTAATTCCTTACATGGCTCTTTGTTACCTGTGAATTTTCCTAGCTTGTTCTCTGCCTGGGAGCCCCCTCACCCAGCCCTCTGTATTTGCATGAGTCTTACTCTCTGATTCTCAGGTTTGGCATCATAATCATTCACTGTCTTTGGCAGAATTCACTAGGTGCATACCCAAATCACTGCTTCCTTCACTGCTTTACTAGTAGAACTACAGAGTTTTAGAGATAGTCATGTGCCCAGTCAATAATCCTCATCTCCCGAGTCCTCAGATCTATGAATGCAACTCGGTCCTATGAATCCCAAATAGAAGTCAGCCAGCTGTGAACTCTAAGACACTGTCTGTTTCCCAGTGTAAAGTAGACTGTTTACAACTCTCTTTTCTCTTCTTCCCTTCCTATCGGCATTGCAGACCTGACATCTGATTTTGAAGCAGACATTCTTGGCTGTGACAACAACAACCTTAATGGAAGACAAGAAAATCTGAATTCTCAATGACTTTCTGGAGCAGTTGGACCTGACAACCTACCTACCTCTTATTTCTTATTCTGTGATATGATTTATTGTTGGACTTCTATCTACCCTGAGTAAAAGCCTAGCTGCTTAGGCAATTTATTAGATACTCCTTTTAGTTTTTCTCACAGCATTCTTTCCCTGTGGAAACACATTGTCACCTAGTTGTCATTTCCTGTTTACTCATCTGTGGTTTCACTCTTACTTGTACAAACCACAAGGACAGTGACTGAATTGAGTGTCCTTAAAAAAAATAGGTTTCAGTCTCAACCCTGGCTTCCTATCAACCTGTAATCTTATCTTAAAATAGGTATTTTACCAGTGTCATCAAGAAAAATGAAGACATACTGGATTGTGATGCATGGTACAGGAGAAAGGATGAGGAGACTTAAACACATAGATACATAAGGAGCAAGGCCAAATGACCCCAGAAGCAGAGGCTCGAGCTATGTTACTACAAAACCAAGAACACCAGGGATCTCTCAATGCATTATCTTCTAGAACTTTCAGAGGGAATGTGGCACTGCCAATGCCTTAATTTCAGGCTTCCAGCCTTGAGAACCAGAGCTGTATACATTGCCCTTGTTTTAAGCCCTATTCAGTTGGTGGTAATTTGTTATGGCAGTCACTGAAATCGAATAAACTGATCTTGCCTGCAGAGTTTCAATTTATATCAAGCCTCATACTATAACTACAAATCTTACAGTATTTCCTTCAAAGAAGCCATAAGATGGGGCAGATCAGAGCCAGAAGACTGACTTGGTCTGCTTGATGAGTTGGTTCCTTCCATATTCTGTCTCCTTACAATGAGATTAGCCTGTAATAACTTAGAATCTAAGGATGGCAAATAAATTTCATCTTGTGTTGCAAAGAGTTCTGAGACTATATTTGACTCATTTGTTATGCTCATTCAATGATTATTGAAGGTCTACTATGTCATTTGCTAGATACTATTCTGGAAGGGGAAAATAAGTTAACTAATCATCTAACTGAATAGTCTTTGCCTCCATAAAGCTGAATTGGAAAGAGGGCGGTGACGGATTTAAAAGATGTCTTCCATAAACACGGCAGGGAAGAACTTAAGCAGTTTACTATATATTTACAACCCTTCCAGAATGGAGTTAGTCACCACACTGGATTTTCAGGCCAAACTGTAGTTGTGTCTATCTCTTCTCTGGGGCAAATATAAACAACGTGCTCTACTTTGTGTTTGCTGATACTTCTTTCTTATATATTTTGCTGTTGAAAGAGCATGGGAGTGGTAGCAGACAAAAGTTTAACGAGAAGGCCTAGGTGTTTCATCGCTGCACCAAACACTGCTAAACTCCAGATTAAGGATTAAGGATATTTTCCTGCTCAAATCAGAATTTCAAGAAATTCACAGTATGTAACACTGAAGCATAGAATTTAACTTCCCATTATGAATAAAAACCAGAGGTCAGGATTTGTTAAAAATAACTGAAAAAAAAAATCTATGAATACCTATGCAAAAAAGGCTAGATTGGGAATATTAGTAAACTTGTGGCTGTGACACAATACTCAACATTCACAGTTTAATGGAAGAAAAGTTTGATTTGGCTCACCATTTTGAGGAATTCAGTCCATAGTCAGCTAGTTCCAAGGCAGGAACATCATGGTAGATGGGTATGGTAGATCAAAGCTGCTTAGATCATGACAACTAGAACCTGCTTTACTAATCCACTAGGCATGTTACCCCAAAGCTCCTACATTCTGTGTGCCAACAAAACTAATGTCATATGGACAGGTGTGAGGTGTGCTGTCAAAGGAAGCAGTAGCCATGCCTACAGAAGCTACTGAGTGGCTAACTGGCTAAACATTATGAAATAAATTCCATAGTCCCAAGGACACTCTTCTCAAATGAAAGATTGCACCCTGGAACTTGCCATGCATGGAACTGATTCCTGATATATTCTCAAGGCATTTTCTTTTTTCTATGAGTGTAAAGTACTTGGTTTCTTTTTAATGGTGCTAATCTTTTCAGCAACCACACCTTCTTTGCCCTAACTTTACACACAATTCCTTCTGGGCAAAAATTTAAAGTTTTTAAAATTTTCTGCTCTCCCTTTTCCCCCTGATTCTCACTATAAATCTGGCCAAAAGAATTCAGTAGTATCCTGCCACGGCATGAATGTTGGGTTGTCTTGAAATTTCATCCACCCAGTTAATTAGTCCACCACCCTAACCATCAGTTCCTTGCAGGCTTGGGACAGAGGCAAAAGGCAGACAAATTTTCTGCCAACATGCAATGCATATGACCTTTAATCTTCATGCCAGTGTAGTCATTGTTTTAGCAGAAACCTCCTGAGCCTGGGCTTTACTCTTGCATTCCTGTTAGCATTCTGGTCTTTTGAATAGTGACCTAAATCTACCACCAGGTTCTGGTTATTGTATTCTAGATATTCTCTGGTTTGAGTCCCCAAACTCTTTCAGACTCAATCAACAAATCAGTTCTAAGTGCTCCAAAATTACATGGTCAGGTATAGTCACAGAAGTGACCCCACTTCTCAGTACCACTTTTCTCTACTAGTGAAATTCCCTTCTGCTGAGACATAATGTCCAATACCCACAATTTAAAAGAGGAAAAATGTAATTTGGCTCACAGTTTTGAGAAATTCAGTCCATAGTCTGTTGGCTCCAAGGAAGAAATATCATGCTGGTTGGGCATGGTAGAACAAAGCGGCTCATTTTATATTGGCTATGGAACAGAGATGAGAAAGGATGTCAGAGAGGAGCTGGCTAGAAGTTATATATATATATATATATATATATATATATATATATATATATTATATACCCAGGACTGGTTTTCTAATCTACTAGACATTTTTTAATCCAGTGAAGTTGACAAAGCAGGATTAATAGTCACAATATGTCTTTGGGTGTGCTTCTGAGAAATAGTCCCCAAAATAGTAGGCTAAATTTAAAGGTTTAGATGTAGATGTAAGTAACACACACACACACACACACACACACACACACACACACACACATTATCTCTCCATTTGAAAGAGCTATTTTTAATTAATCAAAAGGTTTTTAAAAATGGCAAAATTGACATTTCCATTTGAAGTAAGTCTGATGTCTAAATGATTTTATGTGTGTCATTTAAGGTGTTGTCTTTATCTCAATCAAGTGAGCACTGAAGTCTGGTAAGAGTCAGGAATAGACTGAAAACAAATGTGGGTGGAAAATCAGTTTTCCAGAGTAATAAAATTTTCAATGTCTGTGAAAATATAAAATTCTTAACAATGTGTATGACAGGCATCTTTTTATATAAAAATGCCCAGCATTTTAATCATGTTATTCTACTTCCTCTAACCATACCTGTTGGAATTTTCAAGCTGCTTCAAGCAAAATTTATTAGCTTTATATGTTTGTAAAAACATAGGGCATAATTTTGGGAGGAAGACGATGAAAACTTAACTTTGGTTTAAGGTAAGTTTTGGCTTTAGTATAAATTTTCTGATAAGAATAATGATAAACATTTTATTCTTTATAAACTAATATTTGAAGAATATGACCCTGGTAGCATTTGACTCAATGTCTGGAAATTACACAACTATGTAATTTGACCTGTCTTCAATCCATTTAGTGACATCAATCAAGTTCTTTATACCTGCAGTGACACTCAGGTCCTAACTCAATTACCTAGATTTCCAACCCTGTCTAATCTAGCTGCAGGAATATTGCCAGGGATGTCCTGTCTCAGTGACCGCAGAGCCCTTCTCAACTCTGCAATATGTTTTTCTGAGAAGAAGCCATAAGGTCAGTCTAACCAATGAAACTCAAGTATCGAACCTTATTAAGTCCTCAACAGTTGGATCAAATACTTTCCAATTAATGCACACATTCAATTTATGGCTATTTTAAAAAATGTCATCTTCTTTGGCCATTTAGATCAATGATTCTTAAGGTCAGTGCCAAGGTCATTAATAGAATACTAATATTATCCCAAAGCTGCCTCAAAACATATGTCCCTTCTTGATTCTTTTTTTTTTTTTTTTTGTCTTTTTCATTTTTATCAGTACCGGGGATCGAACTCATGACCACCTGCTTGCAAGTCAGGTGCTTATGCCGCTGAGCTAAATCCCCAGCCCCCCTTCTTGATTCTTAAATGCAAAATATATGCAAATTCATTTTCACAGGGTTCCTAAGGCTATTTACAACTATGTTAATACTTGATATTCACAAAAATAGCACATTAACCAAGCATACAAGCATATCAAGCACTTAAACTCAGTATTCTACTTTGAAGACCAGCTGGCTCACAGCACTATGCAAATAACTATGTTAAGGTTGAAATATTTTGTGCATATACATAATTTGAATGCCAGAAATCTGGCATTGATGCTGTAGCAGTGTATTGTTAAAATAGATGTAATTTTCCAATGTTCTTCTTCTTGCCTTTCCATTCTAAATTATTAATATTTTTGTTGCATCATTATGCTTATTTATGGTAATAGTCTGGTAGATATTATAGTGCTTGGTGATGTAGAGGTGCATCAACAGTGTTTTTGGCTGATAATTTTATCACATCTTAGTGACCAGACTTTATGTGTTATGTTATATGATTTCAATATTAATTATCTATTCCACCACATCTTTGTTTTTCAATTTTTATTTTTGATTAGTACATGCTTGCAGTACAGAATGATTACATTTCCCATGAAGAGTTGTACATGTATACATCTTAATTCTTCTCTTCCCATTCCTATTCCTCTCCTCCCCCTACCTCTATCTCTTCATCCCCTTCTTATTTGAGAAAAATATCCCTACCTCTCACTATTTATCTTTTATCTTTTGTTTTGCACTTTATTTATATTATTGGGTTTCTTGTATTAGAGAAACCATACAGTATTTAAACTTGCCATCCCATCATTTCTAAAATCAGAGAACTCTTCTCTTTCTGTCTCCCTCTCTCTGAACACTTGCATATTTACTTAGAGATTTGTTTTTGTTTTGTTTTCACTTAATCAAGTTTTCCTTCACATAGTAGAAAATGGGTAGGAGAAATGAGTATGTGATCTAGCGTCTTGCAAAAGTGCATTCTAATGAAAAAGTCTGAACTATAATTAACCAGAATCAGGTAGATACAGTATTGACTTATGAAAAAAGTAACATATTTTATATTGTAATTTACACCATGGTTATGAAAATTTTTAAATCTCTTAAGTATATTCTCTGGAAAATTTTTATAAACATAAAATACATATATCTCTTTCCCTTTTTTTGCCTTATCTATTGTACATAAGGTGCCCCTTTATAAACTATTTTATTTTATTTTTTTAATACTGGAGATTCCACTCGTGACCTCATGCTTGCAGGCAGGCTCTTACACTGCTAAACTAAGTGCCCAGTTATAGACATGTTTTGAAAAGACCATATGCCATTGCAAAACTTGAGAGCAGTATCTGATGTAAATTGTGTACATATAGTATGGCATGTGCATATCATTGTATATCATTTTGCTAGTTACTTTTTCAGTGTATTCTCTTTTTCCCATTGGCATAAGAGAAAAGGATTTCTGTCCCAGTTTGTAACTGGTTTCCCAAAGTCACCAACCTGATAAGTGAGCCAACTGAAATGAAAAGCAATTTTTCTAAATACATAAACTATTGGTCTCTAATCTTAAAAAAATTCCTTGACAATAGAAAAAAGAAAGTAGTGCATTGACAGTTGAGTCTTAACTGGAGAGAAGAGGTCATTTCCTAGTTTACTTTTGAGCCTGCAGCCTGAGTATTCACACACTTGCCACCGAACAAAACATAATCATGTTCTATGTAGTTTGACAGGTGTTTTTGAACATCTAGACTCTCAAATTAGAGCAGTACAGGCTACATGATGATATTGAGAACAAACACTTGTTCTTGTGGGAGTGCATTTAATCACGCTGATGTACTTTATCTTCTATTTAGAAACTTGAAATCACTCAGTGGTTGAACTGCCACAAAAGTTACTTTTAGACACAATACTTGTGAATGAATCATAGGTATGGTCTCACTGTCTCCAGCTGCCTATTTCAGTAATGGAGTAAGAGACAAGGAGCGTGTTCTTCTGTAACGAGTTCTAAATGTTAAATGCATTTTTAGCCTTCTAGCTAAGCCTTGAAGTCAGAAGCTAGGGTGTGCTCTTTTGACATAAAATTGAGGTTCATGTGTGAGCCAGGTACTTATTATTTTTTGTTTAGCTGGAACACAAAGGTACTTACTCTGAGAGAGTTCCCCTTTGTCTTTTATTTTCTCTCATTAGCCTTAGAATGCCAATAAAAAGACATATCTTTCTGTCTTTCTTCTCTATGTTGGTAGATTCTATGGAGAGATGCTCCATAGAATGATCTCAAAGATCATTAGCAATCTAAAGACTAGAACCCCCGGGGCCATTAAACACATAAGTACAACTGCTCCGTTTACTTATGCACCCCTAACTTACTTCATACACTGTGTCAAAAATTATCTATTTAAATTATATAGAATCAACCTTAGTGACATTTTGCTTTCAAAAGCTTCAGCACTTTTATTACAGATTATATCACTCATTAACCATGTAAAATAGTTTCATTAATATGGTGATTTATAGTCCTATCTTGGTTATAAATTTTGAGTGTTTTCAGTCACTACAATAGGATTACATAAAGTGTGTGTGCCCTAATGCTTCCTGGGCTGTGGGCCCTAAATCATACAGAATATATCAGTCAGAATATTTAAGAGGCAGAGTCATGATTAACCATCATCACAGGTTTTTGTTATGAATGTCATTGTTTTAGAACTGCTGTTCTAGACAGATACAAGTTTCATCTAGGTACACAGGTCAATAATTATTTAATTAGAAGGAAACTAGCATTTATTAAGAGGCTAGTGCAATGTATAAAGTATTTAATTGGCACATAATTATTTTAAAAAGATATTATCAAAAATTTCCAAAGAGAACATGAGGTTCAAGAGAATTAATTTCCAGGATATGATTCAGATTCTACACTGCTTTTAAAAGGGGAGATTTTTCAAATGAATGGCACTGATGAAAGTAGGTGACTTTTGGAAAAATATAAAATTAGATCTATACACAAGAATGATCTCAAAGATCATTAGCAATCTAAAAATTAGAACCATACAAATACTAAAAGAAATATAGTGAATTTCTTTTTCATATTATTGTGGGGGAAGTCTTTGTATTTCAAAGCCAAAGAAAAATTTTAAAAGTTAATAAATTTGATAACATCAAAAACAACAACAAATACTTGTGTATGGCAAAAAAACATAGATACAAAGTCACAAGATAAATGAATCACTAAGAGAATGTACAGAGCCTAATGTACAAAGAACTGTTAGAAGCTCAGGAACACAGAACCAAAAACCAACAGAAAGTGGAGGAAGAAAACGTAAAAGACAGTTCACAGAACATGATGTGCAAAAATCTTTTAAGCATACTTTTAAAGGTTCAAAAACACTAATTCAATAAAAATTTAAAAGATATTTCTTGCTTATCAGATTAGCAGCTATCAAAATGTATAACAACGTACTATTGCAGTTAAGCTATAGAGAAACAGTATGAGACACTGCTAGGACAAATACAAACTGGAATAATCATTGTAGAAGAATTTGGCAATTTGTAAAAATTCTACACACCTATCTTTTGGTAAGGCCAACCCACTCACAGAAATACATATGGCAATAATACAGATATTCATGTACAAAGTTATTCATTGTTGAATTGCTCACATTGCAAACTCTTTGGAGCTTATAGAGAAGAGTGGTTAGAATAAATTAAGGAGTACTATGCACCAGTAATAAAACAGATGAGGAAGATATTTATTTAGAAATTTCTATGAAGTAGTTTCTAGCATATTCTTAAGCATAAAAAAGCAAAGTTTAAAAGATCACAGATGGTACAGTATCTTGTAAATGGAAGGATATGAGTTAAAATACGTTTATCTGATCATTTATACAAAACTTTTAAAAACCCAAAGAAGAGTGAAGTAGAAGATAATGAGAAGGTGGAAACATGTTGCAAGAATGAGGGGCTGTGTCATAGTCACGTGAAGCTGACCAACCAGTCGTGTTTCACACTCATCTTATTTTTTAAAAAAACCTTGTATTTACACATTTTTAAAATTACATTCATTAAGGATATAAAGACAACACTAATGAAATACAAACAGAAGCAAATGTTCCTAAGCAAAGGACCATTAATGACGTAATCATACCAGAGGAAATGGGACGGGGCAAGGAGAACCAACCTAAGTATCTCTGTAATGCAATATTTTTGCAATAACTGTAAGGACAAAAAAAAGTACACAAACACAGTACTCTAGTTATTAAATCTGATTTTACAAGCAGTACGTGTTAGAAATTCTAAAACTACATTGTGTATATTCCATAACTGAGAAAAGAGTAAATATATTGTGGAAATTAAGACCTAGATGTCACTTGTTGGAGAAGAGATTTACAAATAAGGACAGGAGGGTTGCTAAATGAACCCTGTGGAGCTGGACTGGAATTTGAAATGTCATGGATTACATATGAACACACAGAAGACACATTGGTATAGAAAAGGATATAAATTTATGAATATATGTGAGTGTATCCATTCATGCATTTCCTATCCCTGTGCACTAAACAAGTCTGGAAACATGTTGGTACTTGGGTCTTGACAAAATTCAAGCCCATCAAGATTAAAAAGAAAAAGTCCAAAGCAAGCTAAGGATGAAATGAAATGTCTAAATTAGATAAAGTATATCTCTAAACACCTGTAACGTTAATTATGTGCAGTGGTAAAAATATTGAGCTTACCTTTCAATATGGGATGTTTGCCATCAATTCTACCATTTTGCATTGTATTTGGAATTTTAGCTGCTACTACAAGGATGAAAAAAAAGAGAGGAAGAATTAAAAGGGAAAGTGAAAATTATCCTTCTTTATAGTAAAAATCTAAAGGAATATGCAGTTATTAGAATTGAAAAGATACCTAGGCACGTTTGCAGAGTAAAAAATCAATATATAAAAAACAATTTTGCTCCTACATGACAAAATATGAAAAGGTACAATGTAAACAAAGAGAGCATTTATAATATTATAAAGCATCACATACTCTATTTAGTAAAAAAAAAAACCTTCCAAAGCATATGTCAGATTTCTACAGAGAAAATTATAAACCTTAATGACAAAAAAGAAGACCTAAATAAATAATTGATAATTATACTGTGTTCACAGATTAGAAGACTCAATGTTATAAAGAAGTAAATTCTCCCATTGACCTATAACTCCAAATTCAATAGTAATCAAAACTTCAGAGTTCTCCTGTTAGAACTTGAAGAATCTCTTTCTAAACTCTAAATTGATCAACCAAGTGTGAATAATTACACTGGTTCTGAGAAGTTGAAGAGACCTGCTGTACTAGATGTCAGTATTACTGTAAGTTTACAGCTGACACTTGTAATTCTTGACCTATAACACTGACCAAGTGCTCACTATATAAGTTAAGCTACACATATATATTTATTCACTTTTTTGGAAGAGGTAACTTATCATTATGTTTTACAATCAAAGGATATTTGGAAAAGAAAATAAAAAACGTTTTCCATGTTGTGCCATTCCAGTCAAAATTCATTCATGAGTATTAATTATTTGGACTGCAAATGTCTCAACACCGTGCAGTGTGTGATTTTCTCGGTGGCATTTTGGCCTAATGCTCCTTGACTTGACTGGAATAAGCTGAAGAAATATCAAGTACACTGACATTACCCTGTAAGAGTGAGCTATGTAAAACCTACTTACTAGAATATCTTTTTCCCCCTCTGATACTGGAGATTGAACCCAGGGCGTTGATACTGTGCTACATCCCCAGCTCTTGTTAAAATTTTTCTTCTAACTTTTGAGTCAGGGTCTCGCTATGTTGCTAAATTTCCCTGGCTGGACTTGAGCTTGCTAGGCTCCTTCCTCAGCTTTCCAGAGTACTGAAGTGACAAGTGTGTGCCACACATTATTTCCATGTATATACTGGGTCTCATCCACAGATTCAATTACAAAACTACTCTTCATATAAAACTCCATTTAAATATGTCAAAGACAGTAAATACTGTTTTTTTTTTTGTTGTTTTTTTTTTTTTTTTTTGCTGAATAGCTCTTCAGTAATAATAAGAAAGAAACAACCTAGGAAATGTTTGTCTGTAATTGTCTATTTTGAAAGGTAGATAAATTTATGAAGGAGCCAGATAGGTTATGTCATTTGCAGGAAAAAAAAAATGGATAGAACTAGAAACTGTCATGGTAAGTGAAGTCAGCCAGATTCAGAACATTAAATATCACATTTCTCTTATATGAGAAATCTAAAAAGAGTACATAATTTAAACAATTTAAAAATTATGGAAAGAGAGCTTTTGCAAATGGGAAGAGGACCAACAGTTAGAAGAAGCAAGAGAGAGAAGAGGAGGGGATGCAAAACAAAAAGAGAGAGAGAGAGAGAGAGAGAGAGAGAGAGAGAGAGAAAAGATTAAGAAGTATTAGGTACACATACCAACTCCCCGTGATAATTATCATTGTGCACTGCAAACATGGACTAACAAAGAAAATTTTAAAAAAAGAACAGAAAGAGGCTAGAAAACATGAAGGTAGACTTCTGGAGACTGGGAAGGACAGAGAATGGTGAAAAGGCAGAAAGTAATTGAAACTGATTAATATATGTTAAGTGTTTATACTAACTTCCCAAAATAAAACCCACAGCATGTAATATTGTTTCTGGGTTTGGGGTTGCTGGAGTCTCTTCCTGGAGGTGGTTTCTAAATTCTTTCTGTGCAAAGCAAAGAATTGGTCAAGATAACACAAATGGCAGCAAAGTTTTTTTAAAGGTAGGAAAAGAAATAGGCTCTGTAAAGTGAATTTGGTTCACGTAAAAGCAGGAAAAGAAGCACACCCTATAGTGTGATGGTGCCCACCATGCAGGAGAGAACACAGTAGGAAAAACTCAGTGTAGACTGTCCTTCTCTTAATCAGCCACTCCTCAAGTTGACATCAGGTCTAGGCTGTCCTATCAAAACGTACCCAAAGTCTCACCAGTCTGCGTTCAGCGCTTTGGGAATTGTTCTGCATGTCTCCTGGGATTTTGTAATTAACAGGTCACACCTACTCCCCCAGCCAGCTTCGCTATGCCCTAATCTTCTGTCTCACTGTTATCATGTACTAATAAAAATAAGCCAGAGAGCATCCTCTTACTAGAATATTTTCTGTAGTCATTTTTTTAATATCAATTAAAGTATATCTAGCTTGAGCATACACACAAAAAAAACTCTAGTCTTTCCAGAAAGCATGTCACAGGTATTTCTCAAAAATACTTTGGTAGCCTGGTCTCTCTCATTTTATCCTCCTCTGGCACAGTGATTTTCTTTGCTTTCACAGCTTCCTCTAGAATTTTTCTCTCAGCTTCTACTTGTTCCTTCTGATCCTCTCTATCAATTTTCATGTCTTCCTATCAAAATAAGTGGCAAAAAGGGGAAGAGATTCAGAGAAGGTTTAAGATGAGGTAAAATGAAAGTCAAGAGATAACAGAAGACAAAAGACAGACACAGGGAACAGGGAGATGTGGAAGGTTTGCCGTGGGGAAGGGAGCTGGAGGAAAAAGAAACACAGAGGTTGAAAGAAGAGAATGAAATCTATCAGTAGAGTTTAATTAGAATACCTGCTATCACTCACGCCTTCTTCATCCAAGCGACAGTGATGAAGCCAATTAGATAGTCCTGTCCATTGACACAGCTAACATCCACCAGAATGAATTGAATCTGAGGAACTTCTCTGGGTGGAGGCTCATTGTTTAAAAAAGGCAATTTCACGATCTCAGAAATTAATATGATGTGTCTTTCTTGGACAAGATCAGGAAATCACGTTTGGAGTTAGAGGACACAGTTTGGAAATTAGAGAGGTCCTGTGTTTTTCTAGCAACATGATTTCCCCAAGGAGCAGTGTGCTCTGAAAGTTACTTTGGGAATTTGAAATGGCCTATGATGATAACCTTTTCTAAATCAAAAAGGAATCAAAGCATAGGATTTGATTTTACTGAAAAAGATCCTTGACATTTTCTGAAAATTTGCTAACGCCACCCTAATATTTCACTGTGCCCCATCAATGTGCAAGAAATAAAACTGATTTTCAAATAGCTAATGATCTAAAAAAGTGCTAATTATCAAAAATAAATTTATTACCATGAATGAAACTGTATATTTGCATTGTCATCAAACTGCCACATAAGCATGTTGACCTGAGATATACCACCTGCTCCAAAAATGGAATATTCATAAGCACCACGGAAATACTTTGTCATGCTAGGAAACATTATGAGACTATAGGACCATAAGGTATCCTAAGGGAAACTCTCATGCTGTTCTTTTTAATTTTAATTTTCATTTCCAAAGGCAGTTAAAATATGTTTACATACTTTGTTGATACTGAGAAATGAGAATCAAAATAAAGCTGATGATAAATAATGATTGATTACTGTGACACCATTTTGTATAACATGTAATAAAGTCTTCATCATAACTCACTGATAAGTACAACTAATATCCCCCTTGTATTGTTTACATACAAGGACTCTGATCTATAAAGAAAGCCACGTTTAGGCAAATAACACTGTATACAATGTTCACTTGAATTTTAATTTAGAGACTTGTACAAGACTTCCCTGATATTTAATAACTAGCTTCTTTAGGTCAAGTCCTAGGCTAGTTCCAAAAGCATTGCTAGCCAAAGCACAAAGGATTCTCTGACCTCATCGAGCTTACAGTCTATGGGCCAAAAGCGATCAATCAATGAAGCAATAATATAAAGCCCTCTAAAGATACTGATAAGGTAAGTACAAGGAGACTTGGTAAGCAAAGAGGAAACATATAAAACCTTGTTGGAAAAAGCAGGTGCCAGAAAATAGGGTTTGGTATGTGTTTTCCTTAGAACTTGCATTCAGATCCCCTGATTCCCAGGCCAAGACTCTTTTCAAGGCCTCATTCTGTCTTCACTCACCGTACTTTCATTAGGAAAAGGCCCAGTCAGCAGCTGCAAGGGCTCCCTAACAGTGTGCTCTATTTGGTCAGTACACAGTTACAGTCAGTGCCAGTTATACTTCAGCAAGTGGAGTGCTTTTGTATTTCAAACAGATATTTAATCATCTAATGCACATGTTTACAAGCTGACTTTGATGTACATACTTAACACAAAACTTAACTTTGCAAATAGAAGCATACATGCATCAAATCCATTATAAACATTAAAACATGACTTCTCTTAAGTGGTATTCCCTAACTGAGCCCTGTTTTTACCTGCTGGACTAATCTGAGTGTGTACTCAGAAAAAATTCTGGCTAACCACTTCATTCGGGTGGATACATTAAAAAAACAAGATTGATAATAACCACTACTGATGAGGATGTGTAAAAACTGGAACCCTCACGTCTACTTGGTGGAAACAAAAAGTGGCATAGAAACTTTGGAAAAATTTCTGAGAAATTTCTTAGTAAGTTAAATGTAGAATTGCCATATTATCCAGAAATTCCATTTTTATATCCCAAGGTGATTAAACATGCATGTCATTGCAAAATTTTTTATGTAGATGTTTAGAGTAGCATTCATAGTAGTTAAAAAGTGGAAAGAATTCAACTGTCCATTAGCCAATGAATGGATAAATAAAATGTGACAAAAAAATAAAACAAAATGAGCTAACCACAAAAGGAAATGAACTAATGATGTGTACCACAACACAGGAAATCTTGAAAACATTATACCAAGTGAAAGAAGCTAAACACAAAAGGCCCATACTATGTGATTCCATTTGTGTGAAATGCCCCTAGTGGACAAAACCATAGAAACAAAACAGAAG